CCCAAGATACCCTAATAGACCCCCTTATTCGAACCCATTTCATACACGGGCTGTGGTGTATGCATCCCCCCCTGATGATACCCCCCTTGTTGTCGGTGGGACGGTTGCGTGGGTGGAGGTGGGTAATATACCGCCGTTGGCAACTCGGGTATCTGCATGTAGGGAGAAGCGATCCCATGCACCTTAGCGCTGAGGGATTGTGGGCGCGAAGGCAGTTGATGGAGCTCCTGTTGCGGTACATGTCCCGGGGGAGGGTATGAAGCGGGTGTGCTCTGGAGTTCGTAGCGATTGTATGGGCTTGCGGGAACGTTCATCGCGGGCGGCTTTCTTTTTTGATAGCAGCAGCGGTAGATGAGGAATGCACCTACTATTAGGAGGGCTGCGCCGCTAGCGGCAATGGCTATTATGACGCTAATTTTCAGCTTTGGTCGAGAGGATGAATCCGAGTCTGACGTTCCGGATGGAGAGGATGATCCTGTAGAGGAAACGTCTTTCGAGGATTTTACTAAAAGGACCGAGGAGTTTGTGATGGGTGGGTGGCTTGTTCTGTCCCAAGGTGTGACCTCAGATCCATAGAGTGGGTCAAGTCCTTGATAGCCTTCACTCATAGAAAACCACTTCTCGGCGTAGTCTACCCAAAGATGAACTACAGCTAGGAAAGGTCGCCCCAGAATTATGGGGCTACCGTCCGGTAGCTCCCGTATTTGCAACATGTTGAATTCATCGCTGGTCCAATCAGAGTATGGAACGTACTTTACGCCCATGTATTCCTTAAAGTTAAGGGTTATCGGAACGCCATCATTGTTCTCGAACTTGAAGTCCAGGACTGCGCTTCCTGCATTTGATTGCGCTTCCGTACACTTCCCGCAGTCGAGTATCTGGTAAACCTTGTAGGTGTCATTCCAGATTACACCCGAGACGCTAACAAGCGCTGCCAGAGCCGACTTTGGTAGCCAGAGGTATGGAGTTGTAGAGTCTATTATCGCAAGTGTTGGCCCGGCGATGAGGGAGTTATCGGTGTCACCGCCGATTGTCCAGCGATAGACAAGGTCTTCGAGTAACACTTCCATCCGGTATCCGACATCTTGGGATGAGGGGAGAGGACTGGTGGTGGAGTTGTCGTCTTTATCCTTAGCATCTCCTTTTATCATTGTCCTGACCAGCGGATATTGCTGAGTCGTGTTCAAGTCCAGCGCAGCACTGTTGTAGCCCCCGAAGATAAGAATATACCGAAGCCCATCCGCTGACTCTAGATCTATGACAGAATCATTGGAGTATGCTGCATACCCATGATATAAATGGAACGAAGGACTTGGTGTGAATCCGCCCGAGTATAATGACAACGCCATTTGCTGCAACGACAAAATCCCGTTCGGAAAATATTCCTTATCCGCTTCCTTCACCACACCAACACTCTGGGAGTCCATTTTGAAAATCCCCGTATTCGACTTCAAAGTGATGCTCTCGGTGATGGTGCTTCCGACACCCTCCTGGGAAAGGATTGTTCCATTGACACTCAACTTTTCCGACAATGTCTTATTGTATACTCCCGCCAGCAATTCGTCCCCCACCTTTGTTCCCGTGCCGACATCCCCGCTCCAAGTCCCACCGACGGCAGCGGTGCACGCTGTCACGTTGGAATCCTGGGCGCACAACGAAGCGCCCGGGATCCAAGTCCTGCTCAACGTTGTAGACAAAGAAAGGTTGAACTGTGTGCTCCCTACCGTCACTGGAACACCGAACCACGCACCGAAGCTATGTTGGCCGTAACGTAGTGCAAATGGCATCACCACGGGCTTCGCCCGCAATTGAGCACTCACACTCACACTGCCGGCGAAGAGCAAAAAAAAGCTAATCCACATGATAAAGAACGTTTTTTTTTTTAAAGAGTGACGATTAAAGAGCGAATGAGAAGGATAAAAGAATGTACAGGTAACACCGCACCCCGTCTTCGAGACAAGAAGCCGATGGTGAAAATGAAGGTGAAAGGATTGATAGGGAGAGAATGGTACAGTAGATGGAAGGAACACTAGTTCGCATAGAAAAAAGGGGGGTTTTTCTATAAAAAAATTAAATCCCACCCTTTTCTTCCCACTACCGTACTAGTACATTATTGTCCCATTTTAATCTATTGGTTGGTGTGACGGGCACTCTTGACTCAGGCCTATCAAACTCACTTCTCTCAAGGGAGGGTGTCAAGGTTTAATACAGGATTCGCTGGAGAGAGTGAACAAAGTTGTCTCAGCACTGTCGTACAGTTTTCCCTTCTAGCTAGACTACCCCTTTTATGTAGCACAAACAACGGACCCTGCAACACCTGCTGGGACGGGGTCCCATCCTGCTTTTGGAAAGCTGTCGTGGGGCAAGCTCTAAGAACACAGCAAGTTACTGGCACCGGTATGTGATGGGCACTGGTCGAAATAATAGCGCTAGGGATAACGAGTCGAGCGATGGGAAGCACGCTCCAGTCCTTGGGCTTTTCTCTTTTTGTTTTCATTTTCTTCTTTCTTGACCGTGTGATGTTTCCCATCACCAATCAGGAACGATTACCGGTACCATACTACAGTACGATCTTGAAATCCACCACCCCCACTAGCCCTGCAATCTCCGGGTTCAGAGGATTAGCCTCCTATCACGGGTACAAAATAAGCCCACTGGATGCGTTGGATCTAGTTGGCCGATACAGCGTTCGCAATTCCGTTAACCTGCCAAACTATTCCTTTTAGAGTCTGACAGGCTGAGTTTCCGCTAATCTGATGGGGGTACCGGTACTGGACCCCAAAAGCGTTTTTTGAGGCGCCACAGTTGGCGGGGTGGCAAGTTCAACAGACGAGTTGGTTGGTGGGAGGGGTAAATGGGGGGAATTGCCCCGTTACAATCTGATCCACTTTACAAGTTTCGCTTATTGTTTTTGCTTTCCATTACCCTTAGAGGATAGTGAGGAATGGGAAAACTACACTCCGAGCCACCGTTCCTGCTTACTGCAGAGGATACTGATATCCACTCTAGCACAGCAAGTGCTTGCAGTAAACAAAAAGGAAAAAAACAAGAGCAGACTCCCCGAGCGGAGCTTCCCCCTTGAGTTTGCATAAAGCAGCTAAAGTCCCTGATAGCTCTTCGTCCAGGGGCACATGGGAGCAAAAAGAAACATCAATCCAAGCCCGATTGGGAAACGCCAAGGCAGGTCACGGAGGGTCACGGAGGGTCACTCGGATCACAAGTTCTCAACTGGCAGGTACAGCAGGAGACTTGATAAACCACTACGGTATTCATCTGTGAAAAGCTTCCAGTGTCGCCTTTGTGCATTTCACCCAACAGATATAGAGAGGACCTATGCCGGGTGTCAAAGGGCAAACGAGGCGAAGGGGGTGTGATTGGTTCGCAGGCAACTTCTGCCACTTATAGAGCAGTGTATCTTAGAGCCACCACCGCAGGAGGAGCACAGGGCTCACCCGACCTTTTCCCACACTCGGAGAAGAGCCAAGTTTGGCACTTTCCTGGTTGCGCTTACAAAAATTTATCTGGTATCATAGAAACCGAAATCGTCTCACTTTCAAACTTCCACAACAATATACGTCAACCACCAGCACAATATAGCCCCACCTCCAAGGGAGGAAAGAAACATCACGGGGTTGTTCTTTCTGCGGTACGCCGCCGGGAGATATGAACAATGATAGGACTGAATTTCACAGGAATGTTATTACTGAGATGAAGGTTACCGCCAATGTTGCAATTGATTTCTGCGCTTGTACAGTAGAAGCCCTGCAAGAGTCCGATGTCTTTGTAGCTTCGCATGTAGTGGACAGGGGCTGGGGCTATGTAATCGGGGTGCTTAACGTCGTCGACTTTTGTGGGTTTTAGGCGCCCATGTGTGAGTAACCGGGCTTGGTGAGGGCAGGGGTGGATGCGCAGTGCGTTTTTATGGGGGGGTTGGCTAGGCAGTGAAGGAGGAGTTGTGGGGGATACCGGTGGGGGGGTTCATTTGGAAATGGAAGAGGAGGGAGCCGGAGTTGATACTGGTGTCCTCCGAGTGAAGATACCTCGTTCCATGGTTGCGGGATATGATAGCTCTCTCACCTCCAAAAGCGAATTCTCCAATTAAGGGGCACAATTATTACCACACATAGCAACGATCAATTCTTCCACCCGGGCCGCAAATAACTAAAATTTCATCACCCTTCCCCAGGAACATTTATGTATGGTACTGTACGTTGCCAGCGTACCAGATGTGCTAATTGTGCACCGATCCAAAATCCTGGAAAAGGCTTTCTTTTGTCCTGGCGTGGAGGGGAGTAGTGCTAAGGTTTAAAGGCTGTATTCGGCATAGTAGCACAAAAATCAAAGTTTTTGATATAGTAGAGTGCTTGATATAAGTTGGAAGGCTTTCTAGCTGGGCTAGGTTTGAAGGGAAGGGAGGCAGGGAAGGGAAACTGGGAAGGAAGAGGGGAGGATAAGATTTTTTAACAAAATTAATTCCTCTCCACTAGGTAGCTAGGTAGGTAGACAACTCTTTTAATCTATTAAACCGTTTGAAATGGGAAAAAACTTATATTCTATTCTGCTCTTATTGCCGGGGTATCATCCCCCTGCACACCATCCTCCAAAACAGGAACGAAGGACTGAAGTGGGGACTAGAAACGAACAATAACCCAACTAAAAGGAAGCAGCGCTGTGCCCGCCGTCACAACGGGCAACAGAGTAAGAAGGGTGGTTCGCACATCATAGCTAGGTTTATCTGAATGCGACATCTATGGACTGGATGGAAGTGTAGACCTCTCCGGCTACCGAGACGTCCTCTTACCAGACAACCGGATGGTAGGCGGTTTCGGCAACTGAGACAGTTTTAATGACGGGGGCGGTCTCCACCACGTAGTATGGAGCTTCTACAGCGCTATTGATATTGATGTTGGTATTCTGTGGATATCACTTATTAGTATTGTGCAAAGGCACACGGGGGGGCAAAGACACAAATTACGTAGTTCAAGTTAGTGTTTCTTCTGATGGTGCAGTGGCTTCTGCAGTTGTCACAACGCTCCCAACGTCGCCGCGGCCGTGGCTTCCTCAGCCCCCGAATCCACTCCTCCTCAGTCCCCACACGCCCCACAGCCTCCGGATCCACCCCACCCGACTGGGATAAAACCGGCATAACCGCTACCTCTTCTTTCTCCACCGAGTGGGTTGAGGTCCTCATTTAAGTTTGCATTGTGGTTGAGGTTCCTGTGGATCTTGCTATCATTATTGTCCAAAGTACCACCATCATCACCGTACCCACAACCATCAAGACATCTCTCGTGCATATGCCTCTTCTCAAAGAAGTTAGTGTCTTCGAAAGCGATATTGTGGTTGGCGTTGAAATCGGTGTTGTCGCTGTTGCCGGACCCAGACTCACCGCCGGAACTGCCGCCGCCGCCGCAGCAGCCAGCACTGCCGAAAAGGCCAGGGCCACCTCCGGAGAATCTACTGCCGGTAAGGCCAGCCGACAAGTTACGAAATTTAAGATTGAATGGTTCCGAAACATCCCCTAACGAGAGAAAAAAAGGTGCTGCTCTATCCTCACGTCAACAAGGGTTTGCGTGTAGCTATCGTGGAGAGAACCATCACTCAAGTTCTTCTTCCTACCGGTTATAGGAGGCATGAAAGAGGTGGCGATAGAAGGGTCGAGGGAAACCAGGCACAGGATGCGGTGCGGTGCTAGTAAAAATTGCGTCGGGTATGGAATGTCCAATACGGTACCGTACTATCTTACTAACCTTCGGAAGATAGTGCCGGGATCGATGCAACTCTCACTCGATGCCCTTGCAGGTGAAAAAGAAGCCTTTCTGCCAAGTTCAGGGATCGGAGGCAGTTTCCGATGCATGTCTTATACCGGTGTTGGGAAAACCATACCGGTACTATGATACTCCGTATACCAGAGTTCTGGGGATAATCATCTTGCTTAGTAATACAAGTTGACGGTTGTTTTGTTTAGGTTAGATACCAGTTGAACTGCGTTCTTGGCAATATTAACTTGCATTTTGGCAATTTAACAGCTAACAACTGGATGGGACAATTGGGTTTGAGTATCATACACCTAACTTTAAACCCCTATGGATCACTTAGAAGTTAATACTTTTTAAAAAAACTTTCTATTAGCTGACTCTCCTGCTTCTTCTCTGTCGAATGATATAGAGAAACGAAACTAAGGCTGTTGTGGAACCTTGGCAGTCTGAAGTTGGGGGGTTTCTCGGGACCGAAGTGCTCCGGTTAAAGAATTCCCCCACCATACCTGTACAGTACTGTACAGTATCGGTACTGAAAAACGAAATCGCGGGTCCCCAATCTATTTCACACAAAAGGGTTACTTATTACCACAAAAGCAACACCTTACTTCCAGAGTACCCCAATATGTAGGGGTTCAACTCTTTCTTATCACAAAGAAGTATGCAAAGGTAAAGGTAATATGCACTCAGGTGGATCAAGTATAGCTTGTAAGTGGAATATAGAGTAGAAAATAATAAACACAATTCTCGAAATCCAAGTCATAGTGATGCCGGGATGTTGCTTGTTCAACCAATCGCCGATAATGTTCCCAAGGTGTTTCCCACAGCCTCTTATATATACCTTTAAGGTGTGTGGAAAAATGCAGTCCTGTGAAAACTTTTCCTCCACGATACTTTACACAACAGTCACACTCTCACCAACCCTGACTACTTTCAGGAACTCTAACTAAAAGCAATAGTATACTAAGAATAAAAATCATCGCGCAAGTTTTCCCTCCACAGTACCGGTATTTTTATTCCCCTCGGGATAATTTATTAGCTCGCTCAAGGTGCTGGGCTCGAGTGCTGGTGAATTTATCGTAAATTAGCGTGGAATCGTATCCACAGGTAAACCTAACTAGGAGCTAAGATACGCGTAACGATCCACAAAGTACGCAGCCACAAACCAAACTTCAAGGCGGAAGACATTCTAACGATACTGCTACCGTACCCACAAATTACCGTGCAAGATAGGTAGCATCACGGTACGGGCATAGACCCCTACATATCAGTATTCTGCCCATTTTAGGGTTGAAGCTTCGGAGTAGCTTTCCAGCATACCGTCGTTTACCCTTTCAAGAGGGGTTTAACTCCTTTACTATAGATTCCTATCAAACCTCGTCTACGGTAATCCACTGTCAGTACCCGTGTTGTGCCCTCTGTCGGGTTATGGGAGAAAGAGCCAAATCACACCAAATCGCACCAGCTTTGGGGGCACTATTATTCCGTGGAATCCCCCAAAATGGATTTTAAAATAATCTGAAGTATAATATAATAATGTGATTTTTAACAATTTTTTCCCTAGGTCTGGATCAGGTGGTAGGCATTTGGTTGGTATCTTTAGTCTAATGCCAGTTACAACGCATCTTCTGTGTGCAGTACAGTACAAAGGCAGGTATGATACAGCACAGTACTGTACATCGTACTCTTGGCCCTCAAAGAAAACATTCGACACCAGTCTGCAGTGAGTGGACAGAGTACTGTACAGTGCCGGTAATCCGAATTTACTTGGGTAAAAATTTTTTTCATTTCCCGTTAATTTTATAATTATCATTTACCCTCACCATCGCCCGTTGAGTTCCGTTCTGGAAACCCCAACCTGTGGGGTTGTCCGCTCGCCACGAGTGCTTGTGTGAACCAACGCTATCGGTAGTCTCGGCTGTTGAATTTTTCTAGATCCCCACTCTGCCCACTTGAAATACTCGAGTAACCATACTCCCCCGCCAGGCTGAAACTTCGCCCCGTGCGATCGCGGAACACCATAATACCGGTACGCGCATGCTGTACTGTATACCATACACTCGCTACAAGCTACCACAGTCGAATCTTAGCACTGTGCCGGTGGTGATCCTGGCCCACTGCACAAGCTGATCGGTTGGGGCTGCGCTGTGCTGTACGGCACTTGTCGGTATTAGGGCGCTCCGCAAATGTATAACAGGGCATCCTTTTAAATAGCTAGGCTGCCCCCCCCCGGGCCCTTATGATATGTCGGTGGGCAATTTGAAAGCAATGTATACTCTCAAAGATGTGGCTGTTCATGAGAATCCCGGGGATTGCTGGATACTGATCAAAGGCAGGGTTTACGATGTAACCGAATTCTTACCACAGCACCCTGGTGGGGCAGAAAGTACGAGTACTTCTTTATCCACCCTTCTCCTCTATATAGCCTTACTAACCGGTAGCAGTAATTCTTTCCTATGCTGGAGCCGATGCTACGGGTGCTTATGAAAGTGTTCACACGTCCTCCCTCCTCGAGACCCCGCCACCAGGGTTCAGGCTCCTCGGTCCCCTATCCCCCTCGGAATTACCACCAGTCTCGCGGAATCCCGGATTGGATGTCGAACTGCACGCGAAGCCCCCTCTCGATACAATCATCAATACTTTTGATTTTGAGGCTGTAGCAGAGCGTACGGTCACCCCTAAAACATGGGCTTTTTACTCCTCCGCTGCTACGGATCTACTTTCAATGAAACTGAACAGGAGGGCTTTTGATCGGGTTTTGTTCAGGCCGAGGCTTATGCGCAACGTCAAGTCCGTAGATACTAGGACGAAAATTCTAGGTTTCAGCACTGGCGTCCCATTCTTTATAGCGCCGACGGCGATGCAGGGAATGATTAACCCGGATGGAGAAAAGGCTGTAGCGATGGGGGCGGGGGAGGAAAAGGTCATACATATAGTAAGAACTTGATATCAGTCACGCTTTGTACCACACTGCAAGCCATATCGGTTGCTGACCGGCATACTACATAGATATCAACCAACTCCTCACATCCAATTTCGGACATTGTTTCTTCTGGAAAGGGTCCCGAGCAACAAACCCACTTTCTACAGCTATACGTCAACACCGATCGTCAGAAAACTGCTCAGCTCCTTGCTAACGCAAAATCCTGCGGTCTCAAAGCTGTCTTTGTAACTGTTGATGCCCACATTTCCGGGAAGCGCGAGGCAGATGAGCGTCTGAAGGTCGACGTCCCAGTAAGGTCCGCTGTCAGCGGTGCTATATCGCATAATGACAAGAAAGGGGGAGGTATGGGGCGTTTGATGGGGTTATATATTGACCGGACCCTTAATTGGGAGGATATCCCTTGGATAAAAAGCGTAGCCGGGGGTCTTCCCATCGTTTTGAAGGGTATTCAGACAGCTGCGGATGCAAGACTAGCCGCTGAATATGGGGTCCAGGGAATCGTCTTGTCAAATCACGGTGGGAGGAACTTGGACACGTATGCATCCACGTACCATGACGACCGGCGATAATATCTAATTTATCAGATCACCACCCGCCCTGTATACGCTTCTCGAGATCCACAAGGTTTGTCCAGAAATCTTCAATTCTCTGGAGGTATACATAGACGGGGGAATTCGAAGGGGGACGGACATATTTAAGGCACTATGTCTTGGTGCTACGGCGGTAGGGGTCGGCAGACCCTACTTGTATGCTCTCAATTACGGGGCAGAAGGCGTCGCACATCTAACCCAGAGTAAGTATTGATCCCCAGCCTGTTAGGGTAAAGCTAACCCAAGCGGGGAATAGTCCTCAAAGACGAACTCGAAACAACAATGAGGATGTGTGGCGTTACGGACCTATCAGGAGTCCATCCAGGACTGGTAAACACAAGGGAAATTGACGCATTGGTTGAGGATGGGATCGAGCATTCATATGTGAAGTGGAGGCCAAAGAGTAAAATATAAGTTACGGTGGGACAATTTTATATAGAATAGCTAGGCGCTCATGTCATTGGAATATTTGCTCGGTGTACTGGTACTAAGGAACCATATCCATCAAACCCCGTGGTGGGAAAGCCCTATCTACCGCATTCATCTTGGGCGGGAGAACCGAAACGCCCGAAAATTAAGAGTATCATACCAAGCTGGCGCCAAAAATGATGAGTAGGGTTTTCCACTGGAACAGCCATACCCACAACCTTCCAACCACTGATCTAGTGAAGCAATCCATACCAGGGCCCCATCTATATGTCAAACAATCCCCCGGGTTTTACTTTCCGATCCTCCGGAACTCTGTATCCATCTAAACTGGCCGAGGAATCGCTAAGAGAGCCGTGGTCGGCATTGTACAGTACTCGTACCGTACATTGGTGTTGGCGCTTTCTGATGAGTTTGCATGGGAAATGGCAAGGCTTGGCACTGTTTTCAGCCTCAACTCTAGCTACAGTGTTGCGTGCCAAAGTGACCAACAATCCTTTAATAATCCATGAAAACTTGGGGAGATACTTGAGAAAGAATTTTAGCTTTATGTACAGTTAATTTTTCTATTTTTTCGCAGCTTCGAAATGTATTGGACTGAAATAATGAGGCATAATGGTTTGAGTTGTTGTATGCCATTTTGTTCACCATTTTTGTCACCAGCCCCGTATGGTACTCCAGAGAGCTTGTGCACTAAGATTGGTCCCCTGGGGCTTACAGTACTCGTACTCGTACTCGTACCGGTATTGAGGTTGAGTTAGTGTACCGGTATCTGCTAAGATCCGATCAGTGAAAGAATCAAACTCAATGGGCAAGCTCTATTACGGTAGCCACCCGCACTTCCCATTCCCTTTCTTAGATAGTAGGAGCATTAGGTCAAGAGGCCGGCATTACACTGAACTACGGTACCGGTAGGTCAGTCGCTGCTCGAGTAGGTGACACGGATATCCTGGGCCGAGCGTCGAAAGTGGGTCGAACTTCCGTGGGAACTCCCACCACCACCCTTGTTAGCGCCGGTGTCTCCCGTTATGAAATCATCAGAGGGCTCGGCGAATAAGACTGGGTGTTTTTATATAAAGCGCATCCCCTTGCGACAAGGGGCCCATGAGGGCCAAATGGGCACCAGCCGTCTTTCTTTTTGTTGTCTCTTATCGTCGATTTCCATTCCTCATGGTCCTCGTTCATCAATGTTTTCATCAAGACGATAGGGAAATGGCCTTGCTCTTATTCTTACACCCCTTCAATACCATGCCTTGGAGGACGGCCTCTTGAACTCAGTATTTTAGGTAGAGCTTCCCCTATGTATGGCGCCGAAAACTATAGGGGGGAAGTGTGTAACCCCCTTGCCCATGGAACGGCTTGCGTGCAGGTATCGAATCTATCGTGGTCCCAGATCCCAAGATGGTCCAGTTATAGGGTTTTTGCATTCTGACTTAGGTGGGATTTACCAAATAGTCTTGCCAGAGGTTGTCGCCCGCATCGGGGGCCCGGGAAAACGACGGCAAAAGTCGGGCCTCCCAAACTCGATCCCTTCACGAGGTCACACAGTGGCCAATCCCCGGGTATCCTGAAATCGCTCTTGTTGAGATGATGCTCAAGGAGTAAAGCGGCGGAATCATACCCTTATGAAGGCATCAGAGTGTGGTTGAGGTTGGCAATTAGGATCCTCAATTCCTGGTCCGATTTCATGGTTTTCACACCTCGACCGGGTGGGATCGGGAACCGGGTTACCGAGCTTTGTCGGCGGTTCATACTGACATCATCTAAGTCTCTGGGCAAGTCCTCTGTTGGCTGGCCAAAAAAATCGAAGCCGGGGTTACGCACTTTCCCTCCAAGGCTTCACACCATACCCTCCCTGAGCGTAATCTTAAAAAAGCAGGGGAGGTGTTAGCGGCTAGCGTGTGGCTGGTGCTACATTCTCACGGTCCAGCCACTGCCTGCACCAGCCTCGCACTATACCCAATATTGGACTTGCTTCAAGCTTTCACTGTCGTACATCCGCAAGAACTGGAATATTGAACCTTGCGCAGAGGCGTCTCGAGTTCCCTCTCAAGATAAAGGGGGGAATCGTCCCGGAGGAAACTGACTTCGGGACGAATAAGAACACAACAGGCTTTACTAGGAGAGGCAGCTTCAATGTTCCAGTGTGGGGTTCAATGATTGTCACGTCCCGCTATTCCGGATCTCGATAATCCAGATACCTATCTAGCCAGTCTAAACCTCTATAAGTCCCAACTTTCTTTGCACCAAAGCCTGACATGTTGTCCTGGATCCCCCGCTGTACCGGATAGATTCTCTGAATTTTCGCCGTCCGGGGTAGTGGGGTGCGGCCGCATCCTAGCTCTTACGGTAATCACTGGGTACGCCAATCCCACGATGTCTACGGGCCGTTGTGGGACTGAAAGTCTCCCTCAAACCCTCAGAGCGTCTGCTTACAGCTGTGAGAGATCCCTGAATTCCACTTTGGCAGAGCGGTCCCGGGTCGCCCATGAAAACTAGGGAAAAGTTGCAACCTTTCCGAGGTAGTCGGCCACCCTCGGAACGCTTCACCATGGCAACTGAACGGTCCCAACAAATACCACGAAAACGAAGTGAGAAGCCCCCAACAAATGGGGCCCGTGGCCGGAACCTGCCTGCCCAGAGGGAGGAGCTTATGTAACATCTCTTCACGTAATCAAACCCCAACAACGTCGTACGTACGTCCTCCCTCCATCGATTGTTTGTGACCTCAACTCTTGTGATCACTGTTTTTTCAAAGCCTTGAATTTGCCCTCGCATCATCAGACTCTCTATAACAACTACTTTCTCGAGATTAGTAGAAAATCGTTATGTCTATCCCCGAATCTCCCCCATCGATGGGGCAAATGGTTCATACTCTCTCCAAGTTTTCCTTCCTGCCCGGGAGCGATTACGCCTCCCCGATGACGTCTGGCACCTACCGCTCCCCGGGGTCCCGCAATCGTTTGGAAAGCCTCGACTTGCTGTCGATACTCCTGGTGACCGAGAGTAGCGATGATGTAGCCGCAATCTCAATATATAGAACAGCGGCGGACCGCATCGAGTTGTGGTACTCGAAGGACCGGCCTTGCACGGAGATCGAGAAGGCCAATATCACGAAATTTATCCAATCCGCCGCACGGACTGCTCACTTATCAAAACCGGCAAGGGAAGACCTCCTCCGCATTGCCCTGAGAATGTGCAAACGCAAGGTCTTCGCATGCATCTACGAGGCCCGCCATCTCATGGTACGCTTTTCCCGGGACGGCAGTTACGGGATCATTCCGAGAGCCTCCCAGGCTGATCATGATCTCCGGGATGCGGCAACGATAAAATTGCGTCGTATCCTTGGGGAAAATGACTTCCCGTCCGGGAGGTCTCTAGAGGCCTTTCTGACCCTGTTGTTTCAAGCGATCATCCTGGCGATCCGGCCAGGTGTCCCGTTCGACATAGCAGCGAACGTGGAGTTTTATTTCGAAGCAGTTATTAGGTGTCATGCCCTGCTTCAGGTGCCTGTAATTGATACGGTGATTGAGGGCACTTTGCTTGGGAGGCTGATGGAGATTGCGGATTATTATACCGCTGTGGCTATCGCCCATCGGGAAATTCAGAAACTCAGTCCAGGTGGGAAGGCATATCTTATTCGTAGTATCAGAGAGGTATGGATTACTAAATACCCACTCCTCCTGCTCTTTATCTAACATCTCACTTTTCTAATACAAATATTAATATAGATACCCCCATCATCCCCCACCACCTACTTGACCCCCCCAGACCCACTCACCTGCCTAAACCACTGGGCCCGCTACCGCGGCCTAACCCTTTCCTCCTCCTCCTCCCCTTCTTCTCTCCCTGCTTTCCCGGGCAAAACCCAAATACGCGAATGTACCCACCCCGAAGCCACCCTAATCACCAAAATCATTTCCGCACACAAATCCTCCCCTACCGTGTTACGTGACATCGGTTCTAGCAGAATATCCTGCTGGATCTGTCAGGAATTCTCGGCTGCGGCGTGCGACCTGTACCCGGGTATTTGTATCAGGTTGTCGAGGGAAATGCTCGCAACTGCGGGCTCTTGGAAGTTTCCGGTTGATACACCGGCTTGCCTTGTGCTTGCCTTGACTAGGAGGGTCGAGAGGGCTATGGGGATGGTGTTTGAAGGGGTTGATAGTCTGGGTGGGATAGGGCGGGGGGTCAAGAGGAAGATTGGGGAAATGGAAGGGTAGGGTGGATTGGTGGGTGGGGCAGTTTTGGGGGGCTGTTTTAATGGGTTAATTTTTGTTCGATGTTTTTCCTTTCTTTTTTTTGGTTATGGTTTGCATGATACTAGGAGTAGGGTGGATTAGCAGGTGGGTGGTTTTTTGGGGTTTTATCGATTACTTCTTGCTCGATGTTTTTTTTTTTTTTCTGGTTACGGTTTGTATGGTTCGTGCAATCCAAAACGTACACCGGGAATTAGCATTCTTAAATGATCGTGCCCCTCCGCCGAGTGAAAATATTACTACCCCCACTACTGGGTTATTATTGGGAATACTAAAGAGAATATCGCAGTGCCTTTTTTTTTTTTTTTTGAAGCGGTTGCAGGTCTTGGTAATGGGATGTGGTCGTTTTGACGAGCTTTGGCCTGGCACATGTTTTGGATTGCATGAACTATACTAGAGGGTGCGCATAAGTAAGGCGAGCCTATGGAGGTATCGGGTTGGGGAGTGGTGGTAAGAGCAGGAAAAGGGGAAGCGAGGAAGTGGTGGGAAGTTATGAGAAACGGGTAGAAAAGGAGTGAGAAGTTGTAGGAGAGGGGAGAGAAGGGGAGTGGTTGGTAAGTATAAACGGTGAAAGTGGGGAGAAGGGAAGAATAGGGATTGCAAGAGGAGTATATGACGGTGGGGGGGGGTTAATGAGTTGGGGGATAAATGGAGGTATGGGATCGATGGTGGGTGGGAGGGGGGATGACAGGGGCATGGGATGTATTGAAGGGGGTTGAACGGGGGTATAAAGGAGCGAAGAGAAGATTGATAGTAGATGTAGATGATGTGGGGATATTACAGAGGTTAAGGGAGGATATATGTCTTCATGGAGAGATGGAGTAAGGGGTGAGGAGAGTGGGAAGAAGGCTGCTAAGTATGGGTTGGGAGATTCAATAAAGTTGGTTTGCTTTCGCAGGCGTTTG